CTAGATGTGTATAAGAGACAGGTCTACAGGGGTTCAAGGAGAAGATATCTGTTGCTTGTGCCGGGAGAGAAGAACAGAATCTAAAGAAAGAAACCAAGGATGAGGAGGGTCTAGAACTGTGCGGAATGTTGAAGGAAGGAATAGGGTTCAAGGATTACCTACATGGACCAATGGATGCAGGGACAAAGCTTAAGGTCAAATTCAGGACCGGGGATATAGGCCTTCGAGAACGTCGACGAAGACATAGGACGGTAGACGAAGACGACGAGTTCAAATGTGATTGCGGCTTCGAATGCGAGGACCGTGTTCATGTAGTCGCGGAATGTCCGTGGTACAAGAAGGAGAGGGAAGTGTACGTGACTGAGCTGGGAAACATAGATGGGAGATGTTTGTTGTATGTTGTACAATAACGCTTCTTTCTTTGTGACAAGCCGGGTGTGGCCATAGTATACGGCCTTATGCGCCTCTGGAACAACTTGTTGCTTACGTGGATGTAAGAAGCAACACTCCGGGATCCAGAAGGCGCAAAGAATGTGGCCCCAGCTCCCGTCCGTGCAACGCTTGAGCGCGCCCCCTCGATTGGGGCAGAAACGACACACCTGCCACCGGATGGCGGAGAGAAGGAGAGTGGGTTCACAACATCAGGGGTGCAGAAAGGCATTCACTACAACCAACCTAGAAATGCCCGTCAAACGCCTATTTAGAACCAACCGGCGAACGGGCGGCGGACATCCCGTTCGCCAGGTGCTTCAGGATCATGAGAGCACAATCAAGCGAGCACGAGGCCATCAGCTTGCACGACGACTATTCTTGCACAACGTTTATCCTGCCAAGAGACCAAAGCAACACGCACATAGCCCAAACAAGTCAACATACCATTTCACAACACATTAATGCCCGTCACAACACTCACCAAGATAGACGGGTGAACACCAGCTGAGCACGGGCTACAGTACCATTCCTTGGTCGGAATCTGGTTGCGAAAACGTTGACCGGACGACAGAAAGAGGAAGGGAGGGTTGATGAATCATCGCGAACTACCTCTTGTCAACAGAAGTGGGTTGCTTGAGAAAGGCTGGTGCAGTACAAACTTGGAATGGGACTACACAACGCGAATTGATATCGTGCCTGAAGAGTGCGGGACGAAAACAAAACTGCAACCAGCATCACAAAAACTAGCCATGTAACATCTTCCCGTCCAAACTATTTATTACTTGTTCGGTGACCATATCAAGGTTAGAGGATGCCGGAGAGGTCAAGGGCGTGGAGTCTACGTAACACTTCTCTCGTGTGTGAGTGGTGCCTCTTCTTACGAGCACAAAGGAATCAACGGCCAAAATATGACCAAAGCAAACAACGAATGGTTGCGCGCACCTTTAACACAATGCGGCCTGCCGGGTGTTTCGTAACCTACCTCAGAGATGCCGTAGCAAGTCTGGTGAACGCCCATGTTGCATGACTCGCAGTACACGATGAGGTTGTCTGGTTCCGTGTCGAAGCCACAAATTTCGCAAAGGTCGTTAACCTCAGGCGCCTCTAGCGACCGCAACAAGGACGGGGCCGGAGGTGTTGGCGGCCGTGGAGGAATGTCTGCGAGTTTGAAAAGCAAAGAGGGATTGCAGACAAGCAATTTTGACGCTGGCTCTATTTTCAATACTTCAATCCAATACTCATAGGAAGAGAACAACCTTCCCGCCGTTCAGATGGTCCACATTCTACTGTTATCAGAAGAGGACATCATGGAGAGGCGTCCTGTGTGCTGGCACGTTCAGGGTGCTACTGAAGCTGAAATATAGAAGGTCGCAGCAGTTTCTGAAAACACTCCGTAATCTGCGCCGGAACCCAACATTTGTCACAGCCATGCTCACCGCCACGGACCGTCAACCCCTGAACGGAGTGTTGTCAGCAGTAGCTATTTAGTGGCATGAGCTACTGCAGCAAACACGCAGTTCAGGAGATTGGGGTCAGTGGCGGCGAGCACAAGCAATACAAGACTGGGCGTCCGTCAATTTTGGTCTGGTTTCCGAAGATTGTAGGCCGTTACTACGACCCTCGGTGTCACCATCCAAGAAGGAATTTGAGCACGCCAACACACACCGCTGCTATAGGGTGTCTTCTAGTCATAACAGTAGAATGTTTAAGGTCTAATGCAAAAGATTGCCCTTATTTGAGCGCGTGCCGTTCTGGCTCTTTTATTTGAATTTAGACTGGTGTGAATTCTTATCTTGATTTCAAAGGCGGCGTGAGCAGGTAGAGGGGGGACATGCATGTTTTGAGCAGCCTCTACTGCCGCCGTATGTGAGAATTAACGATTTCTGTTTTTCCAGAAACCTTCCGCCTGGTCTTGAGTGTCTCATGTGCATTTTTCTGGTGCTCTCACGTTTTTTTCAAAAGCAGTCAACCTCAAAATTGCTTATTTGCAGGCTCGAAAGGTTCAGGAAGGCAGTAGTCCAACACTCTCGCTGTGGGGTTGTCCGCGTGCCAAATCTAAGGCGCGTGGATGGGTCACGCGTTGTGCCGTGGTCATCCTGCTTATTATTCAAACAGGTACAACCGCCCTTGAGAAAGTCATAACCAAACACGCATTAGAAGTATCGATGGAGAGACATGCAAAAAGATTTTCACAAAACAACCTCGGCGAAGGGGAACGCCCCGCCAACCTTGTACCGTCTCCCAATCCAATGCAAATGTTCCTGCTCACCTTTTGAAACCACGATACAGAAACATACCTACGACCTATGATACATCACCTCGCAATCCCCGCCCGGATGCCGCAGCCTGTCGAAGTATTCATCCTACTGACATGTGCATGATATTGCTATTTGATACTCAGGGCAAGACTTAGTTTGGTTCCGAAGGGGTTTGCTGCCCAAGCTCGTCCTCCTTCATGTCGTTCCCAGTTGGTGCTATCATCGGAAAAAAGGCAGTTCTGAGACTGGTATCTGAGTTCAGCAGGCTTTTCTCAGCCCAACAGTAAATGAAGTTAAAGTGTGCCTTGACCACGAAGACATATGGTTAGATTCAACACATCATACAGGCCAAATATTCCGCAGATACATAGTGGCGTGTGCTGAACGAATATCGCCTCGGGAGACCTCCATCAAGCAGAAACGGCTCTATAGCATATGTGTGTGTTTGCCTGCGTGCCTTGCTTGATTCAGCAAAACACGAAGCGCAGATGTTTTTCCCGGCGCTCGACTGCTTCAAACGGGTGTGGCCTACATTTCCGGCAGCGGTTCGTGACACAGTCGTACTGCGTACAAAATAGTTCCATCCCTAAAAATATCATGATAACCGTTATAATTTATGAAGCGTGATTATGCCCAGCTGAACACAGCACAGCATCTAGCAGGGGTAAGCAACCACCACCACCACAAGCTTTGAAGCGGGCGTACTGTTGCGATCACATCGACAAGAAAAACATATGCAGAACACCATTTTTCACCCAACGCTCAACATGCGTGTCGCAGGGGTATGAAGGCGATGCTGCTTAGCAACAGAAAATAGCTCACCTTCACTACCGGCCGCATCACCTATCAGTGACACAACCGTGTTAGGCGGCGTGTGTTGCTGGTGGTGGTCTGCTTGTGAACGCGACCGCGGTGGCTCCTCAGAACGTGGTGCAAACGATCTCTGTACGTGCGATTCCGAGGTCGGCGGTGTCGGTGGTTGTGTCGGTGGTTGCGCCGTTGGTTGTGCAACAGGTTGCACCGCAGTTGGTTGCACGGCAGGCGGAACCGTTGATGGGACCGCTGGTTGCACCACTGGTTGCGCCGCTGGTTGCGCCGCTGGTTGCGCCGGTTGCTTGTTCTTTGACCCGCGGGGTCTACCCCTTTTGCCTCGGGCCGGAGCTGCTGCACCCGGGGGCGGCAAAGGCGACGCTGAAGATGCACGTGCTGCTGTTGAGGTCAGCGGCATAGGGCTTGCATACGCCTGCTCCTGGAGAGAGGTCAGTGCCTGAGCACTTTGTGGCCGGGAGGGTTCCGGCATACTTCGCGATGCTCGTGGTCTGCCCCTACCTCGCGCAGGAGAGGCCGCGCCCGGTGTCGTCAACGTTGGTGCTGAGGTGGCGCGCACCGGCTCGGGCGGCCTTGTCGGGAACACTGAAGGGAGAGGAATCGCAAGTGCCAGTGGCTGTGAACTAAATGACGCCGCCATCCGTTCAGATACAGGACGACCGGACAACGGCGAGGTCGATGATCCGCTCGATGTAGCGTTATCTCTTTCTTCAGCTGGCGCACCTGGTGGTTGGCTAGACGACGGCGACTGAACTCGTGATTGCGGGGCCAGCTCCGGGGGGTTCACAGATACTTGATCTTGGGCGGTTATGTTGGACACCGCTCTACCTTGGTCGCTCCTTGGGCCGATTCCTTGACCCCCATCTGATACGCTCCTGCTTATCCGAGGAGCATCACCGATACTGTTAACCTGCTCAGGAACTTGACCCCGGCTGCCTACCACCTCCCCAGGTTCCGATCCCTCTTGCCCTGACCCCGACGGGGGGAGACGATCGTGGCTCGCAGATGGTGCGCTAGCTCTCCGCCCGCGAGTACTGCCGTGGTTACTACTCGAAGATGTCCTGCTGCGAGCAACGATTGCCGCCGGCTCCGTGATAGCGTCTGGGTCCAAGGTGATCTGGTACGACTCACCCCTGCATGGCCTGCAAATCCAAAGGTCCGGGATCTCCCATTCCTGTCGAAAGCCAACACAGAGCCCATGATACCAGGTTGAACATTGCTCGCATTGGACAGAGAACTCCCATCCCTGCTGTATGGCGTCGACTCCGCGACGAACCAGGCATCCAACGTGACATGCCACTTCTGGGTCCAGCACTACCACGTCTCTTACATCGACGAAGCTGTACACCTGGTCTCTGTCCTCGACACGAACTGCAACACCACGGTACCTAGCGAGGGATATGGGAATGAGGTGTTGAACGTCAAGATTACAGTGGGGACACTACCCTGTTTCGAACTCGTCGAATACTTCCGAATTCAGCATGCAGATGTAGAAACAAGCCGCCACTTCCTGGAACTGTCTGAAACATTTCACTGAAATCTGGCAAACAGTTACTAAGATCCGAGAACAGTCACGTCGGAGAGCGCTCCCTCCTTCTGAACCTTGTCTTGTTCCCAGAAAGAGGCCGAAGCGATCTATCCACCCTAGACACAAGCAGCCAACCATATGACTACAGGTACACCATGTATCACTCTAGAATTACACAGACGAACTATTCGGGCTGGAACGCACCCTGCGGATAGAAACATCGATTTGACCTGAGCACACCAACAGAGCAAGCAGCAAGTAGAGTGAAAGAAAGAGAGAACGCATCAAAGGAATCACGGTGCGCCGCTACTGCGATGACGGGCAGACAGGCAGGCGCACAACAACGGCCACACGTGAAGACCCCTGCCATAGCAGTACTTTTCGTGCATCAACACTTCCAAGTTTTTCCGGCCCTCGATCAGATTTCGCTCCACCATCAGCAAAACAATCACATGCCGCGCTCGAGATGGTACCCGGGTGCATTTGGCTGTCTGTGGTGTAGACAGCATTGACAGTGTCAGGTTCGTAGCGTCTGTCTTCATCGAGATACAAGGGGCGACGTAGGTGAAAGTCCCGAACAAACAGCAGTCGACACCATGTACAGACCCAACAAAAGAAAGGCGACAAGCTCCAATTTGTGCAGTCTTGAACACGAACCAAGGGGGCAGAGCAACAAGCAAGTGCGCTCTCAAAAAAAAACGGGAAGTGCGGCGTTCGAGCGCATCAGGGACCCTGCGCTAGCCACTCCTCTTGGTGAGGGCACGGTGGGAGTCCCGACAAAAGACGACGTGCAACGTACAGATCACGGCCGGAGCTAAAGATCCCCGCGAAAACTTTGCGCACCTGTCGTTGGTTCGTCGGAGCTCTCGGACAGCCTTGACTGTGTGAAAGCGAGCCTTGCACTGGGGACACTTGTTGGTGATCTTGCTCCACTCCAGAATGCACTGAAAGGCGCACGGCGAAAACAGTGTGAAGATAAACATACCACCAAACGAAGCCCATTGTCAACATCATGAGTCTATTAATACAAGCAAACAGTTTTTTTTTCTGCAGAACTGACGTAAAAGTGGTCAACCAGTGTGTCCTAAAAACCTACTAAGAAGTGGCTATAAATGTGATACTGCTTTTATGCGAAACAAAAGCAACTTTTCATGTGGGAGGAGTCATGTTGCAATTGCTAAGCTTGGCGATACAATTCTAAAAAAAACGGGATGCAGAAAATCTTTGTACAACATCGTCGTCAAGGAGAACGAGTATGCAATGAGGCAAAGACTCAGCTCCGAACCCAGGTCCTTCGCACTAGGCTACCAAACACAATGATCAGTCAAGCATTAATCCTGTTGCCGCCACACATTGCTCACCGTATAGCAGTACCGGTGGGAGCATGCGTCTAAAAGACCCAGCAGCTTCGAGCCGCCCCCTTCCGCCGCGTCGCTGAGCTTCTCCAAACAAATCATGCACATCGCGTGCATCATGTCATCGTGGCGATCACTTGCGCTGGCCGGTTTCTCCCTGCTGGCAGCTGTGGTCACACCTGTAGGACCACAAGCTCCTGTCGTTCCCCCAGCTGACAGCGTGGTACTCTCAGAAGCCGCTTCCCCATTCAACAAAGCCCTTGAGCTCAGCTGCGTGGTCACAGAGGAAATCACGGCAGAAGTGGCAGACGCCGTCCTGTCTTCCGCGCATTCTCGTGAGGGACCCGGGGATATTGCGATATCCTCAGCCATTTTGGCCGCCGTAGCATGGGTTTCTAACGCAGCCGACCTCGACGACCCTTCCTCACCACCGTCCGAAACAAGCTGGTTCTGCTCCCAAACACGCTCATTCTCAAGGCCAGCAAGAATGCTACTCGCGGGATCGCCGTCACCTCCTGCCTCAGCAACGGCGTTTGCATATGAAAAAGCGGCGAGGGCGACGTCAGCCGTATCTCCTGCCGAATCGCATTCGGCGGACTCCCTCGAAGAGACTGATGCCGATTGTTTTTCCTCCGGTCTACAATCTCGCTCACTCTGTGAGATCGGGGCGCGTTGCTCTGCGGAAGAAACCTCCACGCAACCAGCCGACGACACGTCGTCAGATTCATCCCACGGAGAATGTGGTCCAGAAGATGTGATATCGTTCGGATAGAAGCTAGGGTCGGGCGAAGGCCCACTGGGGGTGGGCAGCACTTGCGACGGTTTAGAACCATCGGGAACCCGCGACGCATTTTCTGTTCGAACTACGCCTGCGCCCCCCGTAGTCCGAGCTGTGGAAGAAGAGGCCTGACATCCCCTACCCCCTGCGAAACCCCGTGCTATCGGCAATGCTGGTTGGCTGTTCGTGGAGAAGTTCCCGGCTTCCTGCTCGTCGCGGACTGCTGACACTACCATCCCAACGCGATTCGCTGCAGGCACGGTAGGGCCCCTGTGTTCCCCGACAGATCCCCTTTGGACACCGTCTTCAAGGCCCGCAGCCGCGTTTAGTTGCTGGTTTTTGTCCTCGGTCGTCATCGCCGGAGTTGGCTGACTATTGGCTACCGATCCGAATCCACCAAGTGCTGCTGCTGATCCTACGAAACGTACAGCAATACTCTGGTGCGTTGTCCCAGCCTTACCATCAGGAAGAGCTGAGCTGGAAAGAGCGGAGCTGGGAAGCTCGCTCGCCTGTTCAACAGCGTCTGGTGAACGTGCTCTTCTGCCGATGTCTTCTTCATACGGTGGGGCGAAGTGAGAACCCCTGCCGGAAGTCCCGCTGCTCTCGCCTCGACCGAAGTCCGGTGCTGTGTCTTCTTGTCGTGGTGCTGATGCTACCCACTCCGGATTTGTATCCTTGTTTGGCCGCGCGGCTTCTTCGGCATACGATGATTGCTGGCGAATACAACGTGTGCTTTCGTCGTCTGCCTCCTTGTGCCCGTTCTGCAAACACGCCCCACCGTCCGCCCCAGTGGTGTCGCCCGAACGATCAGCAGCTGCTGAAGCAATTCCGGCCTCGATCGATGTTTTCGATACCTCCGAGTATGCCGCAGACGCTTGTTCGCTTCGCTTCGCGATCTGCTGATCTTGCGCAGATGTGACCCGGCCACGCGATAGATCATCATGGGACACAGACGAGTGCGACGTCGACGTACTGACTATCAAGCTGGCCCCTGAAAGTTCTCGGGCTTTGCTTTCTTGTTGCGATGCTGGTCCATCGGCTGAACATAGATTACGCACCGTTCGACTGTCAACCGCGTTTTTCGCGAGTGGCCATCCCTCTGATCTCCGCGGGGCCTCCGGCGTGGGGGAAGACAGGGGCGACTGGGTCGCCGAAACGTTGCTGGCCGCAGCGGGTATCCCGGCACGAGTGTCAACCTCAGGCCTCAGAACCGATTCGGCGGGTGTCGACCTCAAGCACATCTCATTTGGCGTGGGGTCGGGCGTAACAGCACTTCTACGATCGCTTCCTGGGTGTACGTTGCGTTCCGATCCAGTTGATGCTGCCTCACTGGCGTTCGCCGACTCATCGTTTGTGGCTGGTCCACTGGCGCCTTCCATTGCCTACAGCACAAAGTGTTGGCAGAAAGACGGCGTCGTGGGATAGGAGCGAATACCAAAAAACGGCATTGTTTGTTTTGCAGTTAGCACCTCCATTGTGAGCATAATTGTAGCACTAAGACGGAATGGTTATCAAACTATCAAGACGATTGACACTTTTCACGTTAACCACCAATGATCAACGTAGTCAACATCATTAAGTTTGGTATTTGAACGCGGTAGGCTGCACCCTACGCAATTCTATTTCACAACAGGTTAAACGCTTGCGTGCTCCTGTCAGGCATGCTACGGTAGGTAGTCCGCATATTGTTGACTTTCTGCTGATGGGGCTCAGCATGGTTTCTTGCAGAAAGCGTCAACGGAGTGTCAAGCCTTACGCTACCCCGGGTCATTTATTGAACCCCGCTTAGATGTCGTACGCCTCACAATCAAGACGCAGGCTCTGGCTTAACGGACCGGTACACCTCAAACTAAACAGCGTTTCTCAGAGTTAACACCCAATCCAGCCGTTATTAATTCGTGATTGCGCATCTGGGTCTCCAACTTTATAACTGTTCGATTCAAAGATATGGACACAGAGAAAACATATTTTCTAGAACATGAAACGAGATGAAATGAATCCGAACGCGCCAAAAGAAGGACCAGGTATGTTGCAAGTGAGTGCGTGGAGTCGGGGAAACAAGAGCAGAATGTTGAAAATGTGCTCCTTTCCGCAGGCACCCTTGCTGTCTTCGGACGAGTTCGAGGTGGGGCCCGCGGGAAACAACTCCGTCACAGGACCGCTGCTAACTGTTGGATTTCTGCTTGTGATTCCGGCTTGTTTGTCCAGAATAACAAGATGCGATGAGAGGAGAGGAGGGGTCCCACGTATCCCAAGCGGCTGAGTGCACCGGGAGACTTCAGGGGTCATGAAGTGAGGAGCGGGCACAAGAAGAGGAAGAGAGGGTGCTGTCTTGGGGGCCCGGAGGGCGATCACTATTTGGCGTAGTCTCCAAAGTTCAACACTGTGTACACACACGGGCGTGGTCCAGCATTACTGCCACAGGTTGGCGCGCGCGCCTCAGGGCTGCAGCGTTTATGGATAATCGTCAGACCTGTTCATGCAAACACCCGTCCTTTCCGTTCTGTAGCGTGGCTGTGGCGTGAGCCGGATCAAACGTGAGCCGGACCAAAAGGATGTCAGCGGTCGGCGGGAGGGCCTCCAGGCTGTAGTGGTTTTGGACAGTCGTCCAAAGTGTCCATCATACATAGATCCGTCGCTCCGTTCAGCAGCGTGGCCCCGAGATGAGCCAGAGCAAAGTTCTCCCGACAGTTTGAACTCGACGGCACTCGGTGCCAACTGAAACTTTGAAACGAGGAGACCAGCGATGGTGGTGCACGTGGTTACCAACTTTGTTTTGACGGGGACAACCACATACTGGGTATTGTATACGTGGTAGATCTGTCCCATTTCAGGCAGTCTCACGCGAGAATATTCTTGGAGTGATTCTTCTGCCGCACCTTCGCCGCACGAGGTCACATATTCTGTACAGCAGGTGGGGGAACGAAGGGCGTTCGTAGCTGGCTGGATTGCAGACAAACGTAGACTGGGCAGACGGACGACGGGCGTGCACTGATGACACGGTGAAACAAAGCAAGGGATGACGTGCACAAAAACCGGTTTTCAGCCGTGAACTTGGCGTCTTCATCCTCCAGGAAACAGGCGTGTGGCACCAGAAGGCTGATCATGCGCGGGCAGCCCTCCACTGCTACTTCAACAGCAGCAGCAGTAGGTGCAGCAGCAGGAGTTCTTGCGAACTGCAGGATGGACAGATACATGTAGAGATCATCATCTTGATCAGCCCAAGTACCCTGCTGCCATCCTAGCCCAACTATTCCTCCAGACTAGGCCTACGCTCTCATTCTCAATTGCTGCTGCTGCTGCTGCTGCTGTTTGCTGCTTGCAAAGGTGCTGGCTAACTATGTACACGTACCTCGCTAGCGTTTATTGGTCACCTCAACTCACTTGTTGTTCCATCTTCAACGTTGTTTAAGTCTGTATGTGTCAGATCAGCATCGATCTGCTGCATTATGCACCACCAATCACATGACCACCAACCCTACAACACTACTACTTTTCTACCTCCTCAATAAGGGTGCGTTGCACATCTGCATTGTACACCGGCCAGTCAGTCCCTCCTTCCTGCTTTCCTTCCTTCCATCCATGTATCTATGCAACCGACGGCATGGGGCACCGACCAGGCAGATCATAAATGCCCTGTGTAGTTTACACGCCACCCAGGGATACATCTGCTACCCCGCTACACGAATGCATCAACATCTACATGTATTTACAACACTCGATGCAAGATCTGGCATGTAGATGCGGCGGTGCATGAACGATTGAGATGTTTGTACAGCACGACGTCGACCCACCAAGAGGAAAAACCGCGAATGTCGATTGGGGGCTGTTTCGGCCGCCTTTCAGGCAAGCTTTGTCCCCTGGAGGGAACGAAGGGCGCGTGGAACACGTAGGATGCAGGATCCAGCTGCTTCAGTCCACGGTTGCGGTGTGTGGGATGGGAAGATGGGAACTCTATCAAGTCGTCGATCGAGTAGAAGAGATGCGAGCGCTAGCCAACCACAACAGCGCTGCCCAGGGCCGACGGGGGCACCGTCTATCCCTTGGTTCGCTTGAATACCAAGCACGCCTGTAGGCCGTTACTTCTTCTCCTCCGCGCACTCCCCGGCCACCTTGCTTTGCCTTGCTAACTGCAATTGGGTATTGTGTTGCCTAGCCTGTCTGCGTAGCTAACTAGCTGTCAGTACCAGGATGACCGGGAAAGGAGGTCATGACGCTTATGGTAAGGATGGACCCGGTGCGGCTACGTTTCGTGTCCAGCATCAGATACGGCGAAATGCTCAGGACATGCAAGAGTATCTTACCGACCTCAGCAGCTGGGAGAAGTCCATAAAGAAGAAGGACAAGTGAGTGGGGACCTGTGCTCGAACGTTGCGTTTGTAGATCCCACCACCTGGTCTGTGCTGAAAGCTGGTTAATTACCATCCGATTGTGCTCTCCCAACGGTAGTAAGAATGATTGGCAAAAGGGGCGGTCGTTTCATGGTCGGGGAAAACAATAAGGGTGGTTGCCGAACGTGCTAGATCAACCAAGATTTTGAATTCAACCCACAAGCCCGCTGACTACAGCAGCAGGATTTCTTAGGTTGTAGGTTGTACAAATAGAATCAGTACAACAGCCACACAGTCAGTGATGGCGCCTTCGGGCGCCTTTCCAGTAAACAACGAGCTCAGTTAGTCCCCCCAAAAATCTTGAAAGCATGGAGCCTTTATATCCTCCGCAGCACCCCCGTACTTGTTTGCCTCTTCAGATAAGATTTACCCGCCGACTTAGTTGCCTCGCTTCCATCGAATGCCAGCTGGTCGGCTGAGTGTACTTTCTTGATACCAATACGGAAGTTTGACCTTGTGTCTGTTGAATATAACCACCGCTGTAGGTGTGTATGGCGGTATCTACCGCTCAGTACAATGCCGAACAGAGTCCCCCGAAGTCGATGTTTGTCCTACGCCCTGCTGTTTGGATTTGTCGATACAGGCATTTGTGGTTCCGTTATTAGCCAGAGGGTACCGAGACGACGGGGTTCCGTTATAAAAAGAGGGTCGGTGTTACTTTCATAGCGACCGGCCCCTTCAAAATGACCCCACTATAAAAGGGGCTAGTGTGGCTCGGCTCCTTCACGCACGCACACACACATTGCGGCGCCGACCACACCGGTAGCATACGCGCGGTATGCCATGCGCGGCTGGTGTCGTACCCCGGACGCAACGATTAAATGTTTTTCAACGCACTACTGTTTGGATTTGTCAATACTTCGAAGTATTGTTGTATTGCACCAGCATTTTTCAAATTAAGGGTTCAGGTTTAGAGGGAAACCCCGGTCTGTCTGAAACACGCTAAATCTGAAAACCGTTTTTTATATGGAAGAGTGAGGTTGGAAATGGCTCTTTTGAAGCTTGTCTCGCTCTCGAAAACTTTCATAAGTATCTCCCGTTGCATAGGCAGAGGCGCTAGGCACACACAGCAAGGCAGGCATTTTCACCAGCCCTAGAGCTACAGATAGGAGCGTTTCGGACTAAATAGCGCGCGCTCTACGCGCGTGTACAAGAAAGTCTGCAATTTTACAGACCATTTGGCCGTTGAACACAGCAACACAGCAAGCAGCAAGGAATCGCGTACGCTGCTGTTCATGAGTAGTCAGGCAGCCACACAATGGGTACACGTAGATGCCCTTGCCGCAGCTTTTTTTTTAATGCGTGCCAAGAGTAAACGGATCTGCATGAAGTCTGTGCTCTGGATGTTTTGTGTGTGAGGCATCAGGCTAAAATGCAAACTTTGTCGTGGCCTCGAGATGGTACGCGGGTGATTTTGGATTTGTCGGGTGTGCACAGCAGTTTTGGGTTCGTAGCGTCTGCCGTTGTCCAGCCATCAGAGACAATGTGGGCGTGAAATCCGTACAGAGAGGCGCTCCTCCGGCATACATCTATTGTATGCATAGCATATTTGGCATCCAGGACTGGTCCCAAGAACGTTGCTTTCCATGTAGTTGTGAAGGTATTGTTTTTAAGTTTGACAAGTGAAGCTCCAGTCCGAATCTGCTATGTAATAATCCGAGTATTCCATCTGCTCCCTCCGTCCAGCTACTGTGGCCATGAGGGACACCCCGAAAGGTGTTCTTGCGCTGAACAGCTGTTTTGCTGCACTTCTGTCGGGAAACCTGGTATGATGAAACATCACCCGACGTTTCTTAACCTCTGTTCCTTACAAAGTACCGTTTGTTGGCGGTATGAATGACATGTCCGTCTAATGTATGCTTTTGGCGAAATTCTCTGAAAATGCAGGCAGATTTCTCGAAAGGCTATGTCTCAATCGTGTTCTTCGGGTAATCGACGAGCCATCCCCGACACCGGCACACCCCCGATCCGCCCCGCCGGAAGTGCGGTCCCTGTAAGCTCTGGCCCTGCGCCCCAACCTTCACAACCAACGCGAAAGCTTTCGGCGAAGAGCCTGGGATGTCGAAACGATGGGGCTGACGGTAGGCCGCACATCAACGTGAACGCTGCAAACGGCGATTGGGCGACAGGAGACTCGGGCAAGGCCAAGTCCAGCATTTCGGCTGCAGGGCACACGTATGATAAGGGATACGGAAAATGGGCCAAATTCGACATCGACGCCGCTCTTCGAGCTGTTGATCAGGAGGAGGAGGAGGGAGTAAACGATGAGGTAGGGTGCCATGTTGACAAAGCAGAATTCTGTAGAAGGTGTCGCGGCTGATTGTATGGGATCATTGGCACGTGCGGCGTGAAACCTTGATATGCCCCTTCACTGCCCACCCGCATGACGATCAGAGACGCTCGAGCAGCAATAGCGATAGCGACACGGACAGCGACAAGAATCAGGGGACTCCAAGGCTCACTCCGGCAACCATGGTCGATCGGTCCTGCAGCCGGGGCCTCCGTCGTCCTCCTCCGCCTAAGCACACAGTGGCACCAACCTCAACATCCCGATCAAGTCAGTCGCCGAGAGACTTGGAGAAGGAAGAGCGGGAACGAGGAAACACGAAATTCGGCCAGGGTGACTTTAAGGGGGCTGTGAAGAGCTATTCGAGGTAGGTAGAATAGGGGGTGCTAGCGGGTGAGGTACGGTCTCAAGCTCACCACATAACCATGCACAGCAGTAGTTGCAAATCGTGTTGATGTATTTTACTCCTAGTATAAACACACACAAATAGCGTCTTGTTTGGGTCGCCACTACAGCAGTCGTAAGGCAAGGCAGTGGGCTAGACGACGACACACTCCTGCGGCTCAAGCACCAACTGTTCAGGAGTCAGAAATTTTGTTGACGATTTTGTGCCATTAGACGTAGCAGGTGGATAGCGGAAATTTCTCCCTTAATTTATGTTTATCACCTGGAACATCACCTGCACGTGGTAAGAACGCATGACCACACGTTGCCATCCGTCCATGGCAGGACTACTCACATTCCAATAGGTTTCCAAAGGTTAGAGCATCGATGCTGTGTTGCAGGAATCGCGAGAGAACACTTCGCGCGGTAGGCGTCTATATGAATTTGCGATTCACCCGGCCTTGTCGACGCTGCTTGTCCAGGTGCCTAGGCATGAACAGCAAGAGCTTGCTGGCTCTCTCGAACAGGGCTATGGCGAACCTCAAGGTTTGTAAGCGACCTAAAACGCAACGGGCTTTTATGCAAATGATACCCGGCAGGAGTGAGTCAGTGTAGAACGGCGTTTGCGAAATCGCCTAGACAATGCCGTTTACTGCTGTGGAATTGTTCTGTTTACAGCTTTGCCTGTTGGGCGTGCGTTTTTTCTGTCTCTCCGTGCCGATGTTAGGAAGCAGCTTGCACGATCCCAAGCGCAGAGGATGAATTTCGCATACATGGCGCTTGTATTTCCACGATGTTGAAGCCTGTGCCCTCTGTAGTTTTTAGACCTGTCCCTGGTGGCAGTTTGGCACTACCACCGTCAAGGAGCTGGAATCAATGTGATGTGTGCACTTTGGTGTTTTGTGGCAAGCGTTTGTCTGCCATGCTCATCGATGACACCACCACCTCCATCGCTGCCTCTACTACAATCTGTGAATTACATGAATCACCACAGCTGAAGGAGTTCGGGAAGGCAGAATCCGATGCCGATGCGGCCTTGAGGGTGGATCCACGCCACGTAAAATCTCTCCACCGGCGAGCAGCGGCGAGGAACGCTCTTGGGAAGCACCGTGCTGCGCTGGGTGACCTGCAAACAGCAGCGGAAATCGATCCAACCTCGAAGCAGGTGCGTACACGAGGGCTTTTGTTTGGGATGGGTTGCAATTTTTTTTTTGAACTGGGTGCCAAGAGGTGCACGTCAGTTTCCCCTTCCAGCGAATGATTCGCCTCGTCGGTAGTGGACTTTTGACTGCATTCTTGGGTGACCTAGGTTGTTGACTGCATTATTGCTACGGTGGTTTCGCTGTTGGTAACAATGTCTGAGTGGTGGTGAGTTTGTTTTTTTACCCGAGGGTGGTTGAGTGCTGCGCACAACTGATGTGGCGCTGTTTGTTTTCAACCCAAGGGTGGTTGAGTGCTGCGCATAAGTTATGTGGCGCTGCAGCGTGTCGAATCTTGTCTTGTTGTTCCGCGCTGCGCATGTACTCAAAAGTTGCCCTGCTGGCTTCACCTTCAAACGTGCAGGTTCGAAAAGACCTCAGCAAAACGCTGGAAACTTTGAAGACAGTTGTGCGCCGTGCGCCGAAGACGCATGTTCGGGTGGAGAGCTTCCCTCTCCCTGCCCCCAAGCCTCGTGGGTACTCTCAACCAGGCACACCTATTGAAGGGGGTCTTCCACCCACCGTGACAAACGCTGCCGTATCCGCCACAAATCACAATGCTTCAGTGACCGGGGATGAGGACACAGCTGCGCCGTATTCCTCAGTGTTGCAAGAGAGCACGGACAAGCGTGGCACCAATGAGGCCACCGTCTACTCGTATCAAGCACGGACAATCGTCGAAGAGCTCCCTGATGAAGCGGAGGCCACCCTCGCTACTCCCATACCTACACCACGAGCACCCACGAACGCAGTATCGTCAGTGCAAAGTGTCTCGTTGCCAACGGCTTCGATCGCGGTAACCGCTCAGAATGAGCAAGGAGGGGACGCAGTTCCACGTTCTCACGGCGGGGTAGATCGGGATATTACAGTAGACCCAGCAGGAGATACACCAAAGACTGCTACCGTACAATGCAGTTTGACTAAGACGAGAACGGAAGGGGCCGCAACACCATCAGAAGCGACCGACGTCGCTGCAGCGCATAGAGTCAGTCCGGCAGTCTTAACGGATTTGGCGTCGAAAACGGGCCCGCCCGCGATCTCGCTCGTGGATGTTGGCGCGAAAGAGGTGACTGCGAAGGCAAATGCCGGTGGCGAGGGCAACAACCTGTCTCGAGGAGCTCATCGTGTGAAAGAGGAGGCAATCTCCCCGTCGCTTGAGGAGAGAACAGAAGACAAGGAGCTGTTTGCCCCGACCCAAACACCCCGGCAGGGTGGACCGTCTACTCCCGCTCCCGCTTGTAGGGCGATGGCCCACGCGCTGCAGCTACCCACCACGGGCTACCAGTTTGAAAGTATGTGGCGTGGCACAGATGGGTCGCCTGAAGCACGGCTTGAACTGCTGCGGGCCGTCCCGCCATCGACTATCGCCAAAATCTTCCGCCGGACCCCTATCGAAGTAGAGTTGTTGGGCGGCGTTTTGCAAGAACTGGGACAGGCTTTTCTGCCCAGGAGGCCGGCAACGGCTCTGCGGTGGCTCAAGAGCCTTTCTAAAGCGTCTCGGTTCAGCATGACGGTGGCCCTTCTCGGCGAAGAGGACGGTCGCGCAGCCGCGCGAAAAGTGCTAAAGCGACTTGAGGCAGCACCGCCGACGAAAGTGGACCCAAAAGATGTTGATGTCTTGAGGAAGCAATTCTCGTGTTAGAAGCGCGTGGTCCAATAGAATGTGAGTGGAGAGGTGACGAGGGAGTGTGACGGGAGGTATGCATACCAAGACAGGTACTAGTACTTTCGAGTGAAACCGATTTCAGTAGCAATCTTGAACTTTTATTTTGGTGGGTGCAACACCTTTTGCGATAGAAGAGTGTTTTCACCGTTGGGTGCGTCGGAATGTGCTCACGATGTGCTTTTGAGCAGGCAATATTGTTGAGCACAAGCTGTTGGCAACACCAGAGAAAGACATGTCGGCCAGAGTGAATCAGTCGAGGTTACCCGCCTCCTCCCGTCTGTTTTGCTCATATTACTTTTGCCGTGGAACTGCTGTGGTTGTCACCATCACGGTGAACCAGCAGAGGTTCGAGTGCAGAACTACTCGTGGTTGATGACCATGCCGAGCTCCTCCCTTCGAGTGTTTGACGTCATTTGGGCATGAGATGGCCTCAGAGGCTCCGGTGTTTGATGACTGCAAGATCCCCTGATTATAATTTGTCAAGAGACAAAAGGTTGGCCGATTGTATTGATTGAGCACGGTCCGGGGTGGCACAACAACACGTCCATCGTTTCGGGTCGCGGATGAAGACTTTTCCAAGCAAAGGTGAATCATGTAAGGGTGTTTTGAGCGGAGCCTCTCTGTTGCCCGGTTTGGCGATGCCGAACTTTGCACAAACTAGCTAGGGAGAGCACATGCGAACGTTGTGCCGAGTTGCAACCATGGGCAACCACCAAGAGCTTACATGGAGCCCTTTTTGCTTCACCTGCTCTAGGTTGTGGCGAACGCAGAAAAGGTCAACGTTGAGACCATGACAGCATCTGCGCACAGGAGAGAAATAGCACGTGTGTGCGTGATGCTGAGCCACAAGGGCGAAGGACTGCAGGAGTCGTTAGAAAACCACAAGTTGCTTTGCTATGCATGACACACGTGCTCCAAAGTTGAACGCACGATATTCTACAGGCGCGGAGAGGCTTTGCCCTTGCAGAGCTCTGGCGTTGCAGAAATACTAAAGACTAAATGTATTGGTGCTAGCGGAAGACATTTACAGTCGGCCACGTGAGAAAGGAGACGAGCTACACAGGGAAGGGAGGAAACAGATTCTCAACACTAAAAAACACATATTCGTGTTCCCATAGGGGGGATAAGCTCTACACGGACGAAAAGGAACAGCACTCCACGACAATAAACACAGGCAACCCCAACACCACCAAATTGTAAAACACAGGAACGCTCGCGGACCCCCCACTGTTTTCCTAGCCAATGAATTGGAAGTTTTTTCCTTCATCAACGACTACTTGACAAGCACATGCGAACATCGGTGCAAAATTGTAACATCTACGCTGATATTGTCGTCGTCATTTCGATCTCTGGTCAGGACCTTCTAACATCGGTAAAACTGGCCCAACTGATGCACACGCCTTCCGTAGTCACAGGCGAACTACGCAAAACTGGGCAATGAAAACAAGATACAAAAACAAACAATTTCACCCCACCACCATGACCAACTTCACGCACCACGCAAAATGCAAACGCAGATTCCAAAACTTGGAGCTTGGACACCACTGCCCAGCCTCTCACAGGACCACCGCCGATCCAATCATTAAAGCACTCAGGACTCCAAGCAAGGGTCACAATGCCACTCGGCCTACTCACGGTGATCTCCTATTTTGCCCTTGCGGACAGTGGCAGCATCGGCTACCAGGTAACTAGCCAGCTTCGTGGCCACGAGGACCACCGTGGAGTGCACGTTCCCGTTGGGGATGTAGGGTAGCACAGAAGCATCGCCGACGAAAAGATTATCGACACCGATTACCTTCATCCTCTCGTTCACCACGCTCTTCGGATCGGACGCCTTGCCCATACGGGCCGTCCCGCACCAGTGGCTGTTGCTGTACACGTGCTGCTTGACCCAGCCCACCAGATCGACGTCTTCGCCGGCGGTGTCATCGGCGGCACCGCTCACCCCGGGGCCAGGATAAACCTCTCCCCGGAGTTCCTCCAGGAGAGGAGAAGTCTGCGCTATTCTGCGTACTTGCCCCACCCCCCACGCCAGCTTCTTCGCGTCTAGCTCGCTCAGTGGGTCGGGCTCCCCCTCCCGCTGGTCACGTTCGATGTGTGGGTTGCCCCGGTGCGGGTCATCCTCGTTTAATCGAACGACGCATCGACCCTCGGGGTCCAACACGGAGACCGTCACGAGCATCATGGGCGGGGCCTGCGCTGATGGTCTTATGTTCGCGAGGGCGAGAATGTGGGGCTCCGTCACCCTTGGGAATACTGTCAGCTGTTGTTTCGGCCAGAACGAATCGGAGACAGGAACGGATGGAATTAGGGGCTGACAACTACACTGCGTTTCGAAAAGTAGGCCGTGCTTTCATGCTTTCAGAGGCTAGCAAATCTGCCGCCGTCCTCACCTAAGCAAAAGGCACGCATTTACAACTCCAACAAGTAGCACAAACTACCATGTTAGACAATCTGATTTCAGGTTCGCGATACCTTTCAGGCCCACGAAGGGTATTTCCTACGTAGAATTAAAAAAAAAATGCATGAACGAGGCTTACAACTCTGAGATCTGGTCGGGGAGGGTGAGTTCATGCTGTATGGGGTGAATCCATGTTTCATTAACCAAACGCCTGGACCAAGGATACATGTACAAGCTGTTACACCCCTGCTGAGAAGGTAATTCAAGCCAACAGCTGCACAGAATGGAGAGACCAACCACATTCTCGTATGCCCCATGGTCGACAGCACCGCCCGAGTAGTCCGTTGCTGCCAACCCCGCATAAATATTACAGCATCTTCATGAGCTTGCTCGCTTTCATACGGAACAATGAGCGCATGGATTTAAACTGTTACTCTCGTTACCCAAACCGACATTGAAGACCGACAATCTTGGGAATAAAACATAAGACAGCGTGAGCCTCCCAGGGGAAGTCTTGAGTACACCAAAGTAAAAACGCCTTCTGTGTTCTACACGACGGGGAGAACGCACAGCTCTTGGCTGTCTGTGGCGGTTGCACGCGAACCTGAATGTCTGGAGCAGAATCGTTCGATCCCGCTGGATGCGACTCGTAGGGGGACTTGAGGAACGCTCCCGCACTGAGTCCTGCAGAGCTGAAGATAGACGGGGCGTTCTGCTCCCCGTTCGTGAGGTCATCAGAATCAACTCCTCCGATCGTCACACCGGGGGGGAAGCCAAGGTCGAACGCCTGTCAAAGTAACGGCGGAGGGCAGTCAAGATGAGTGGGGCACAAGGGTACCAGCCGTGCTGTTTGCTTAGGGCAAACGGGTCACAAGGTTTGGTTGAGTACGGAATGGGGCCTAGAGAGGCTGGTGTCACCACATTCCTAATGTAGGCGGAGCGACGAGCAACGTACGATCACTCGTGTTCAAGGCTTCAGGGAACTGGATCGGCGAGGGGCATCAAACGCAAGGAAACCTCACGGTTGCCTGCTTCTACTCGAACGGCACTGACCTTGAGTACCCCCATTTTGTATCTCTCCAGTTCTTGGGCGACCGTGTAGGCCGAAGGCATTAGCTTCAAAATATCGGGTCCCAGCATGTACATCACACCAACGCTTGCGTGATCCTGCGCACATGGGGCGGAGAAGAGAGACCGTGGCAGATAACCTACGTGTAAGGACTTCGAGACAGCCAACAGTACCGCCTCCAGCAGGTGTGTGAAACTTAAACTTCATTGTAAGGACTTCAATACATCCCTTTCAACGACTGTTTCGGATGGCTGTTTTTTTACTATGCTATGTATATAATAATTTGTCACATTATATGAGGCAAAGCCTGCCAAACCTTGAAGAGAAATGGCAGGAATAATGGCTAGCTCATCAAACAAAAATGTCAGCAAGGATGCTGCGGCAGGCGAAAGGGATGATGTGGTAAGCGGCAACTTCCTGAGGTACACCATGGAACTCATGAAAGCCGAAAACCATTTTCGAGAAACCGACAGAGAAGAGAATCGAACGTGTGACACACCTGCAGATTCTTGCCAAGCTCTGGGACATTAGCGATGCAACCAAGGCCATGTCCCTCTAACTCAGCCTTGTCCCCGATTCCGGATGTCATCAGCAGCTGAACGAAACAAACACGAACGTACCATCGAACCACGCCTTGAGGAGTTCGAAATCTCACATATCTCAAGCCGGGGTTGAACAGCCAACAGCACATGCTGCCTGGGGCTGCGGGAAGGCAGCTATCCAAGTAAAGCAGAACATGGTGAAGTGAGCAACGGACACACTAGCAAGAAAGCGTCACAAAGAGTCGGAAAGGCAACAGTTGCGTCGACATCGCTTAAGCGTACGTGTACATGAGCGTAAATGCGCAAAGATGTCATCCCCATGCATCGCGAAGGAGAGGGCGACGAAAATCCACGCCGTGCTCCGTTCGTGCAGCACGGCACGCTAGAAAGGGAGCCCTTTTGGAACACACCTTCACAGATGCGCAGGCAACAACCACAATTCCCAACGGCGGTACAGCGACCTTGCGACGGTTCGATCATTGCGATGGGAAGCGCGTCTGCACGAACAACAGGACGCCCATCTAACACGCCTCATGCAACCACGTATCGTGACATCGTTCATATACGTAAGCCTTGTCCTTTACCAGCATTCAACACCAACCTTGGGTGTAAGCAGCGCCCCGGCGGTAACGACAACAGCCGATCCCGCGCGCCCGTGCGACCCGGGAGCGGCAATATTGACCTGTTCGACCTTTCCATCAAGCACGAACTCGACCCCCGTCGCCGCTGGTACTGTGCGGCCACCTTTTCCTTCTAAACGTGACGCCACGGTGTCATCATCATCCTCGGACTCTGTCGGCACCTGTCGTGCGTGCGCAGTAGTAGCATAAGGTTCGGTCTTGCGGATTTTTTTTCCTACGAGCGAAGAATGTGGCACCGAGCGTTCAACTACGACATGGACTCCACGTGAGACGTTCGGCTAATGGCAGGACTGAAGCCCGCCGCCGGAGTTATTGCGCTCCTGGCTTCCAAAAGACGGAAAGCAAAGCCCTTGCGCGGAACCCGTGCATCTGCAGTTCGCGCTTGTCGACCCCTGACCACAATATTATTGAGATGGGCGGCAAAAGGGAGACGATAGTTTGCCCGCTAAGTGTGATGGAGCGTTTCGTCCATGACCGGGAAACTTCGCTTTTGAAAACACGGTACGTCGTCTCACCGGTTGAGCATCCTCGATCAACACCTTGCTGACGTGAGCTCCCGTCACAATGTCAAGGTTCGTGCGAACGTCCCTGCCCATCACGATGTCGCCTAGCATTGCCCTCGCTGCGCTATCTCGCACTCCATCTCGGACAGCAAAATGGTAATATCCCGCTCCTTCCCGTCCTCCAGGCTTGTTGAAATCCTCGGTCAATTTGATACCCGCCCCTTCGCAGCTGTCCACAAAAAAGGGGGCCACCTGTTAAATAATAAACGTGTTGGCAGAATGATGCAGAAACGTTGTGAAAGCAAAACTTGGGGGTTGGGTTGGAGAAAAACTCCCCCAGAGTCGGGCGTCGTACCACCCAAGGTTCCACACATGGCGTCCGTTTGTGTTGACGGCACGTTGGACACGGCAAGCCCCGGAATCCTCCCGTCACGTAGTACAGCAGTAGCCCCTAGCTTGAGCGAGCCTGTCTGGTCTGCTGTCGTTCTTCCACTCCGGTCAATATCCAAATGGCAAACAGATCACGTCAAGATGAGCTAGGCTAGCGCCAGAAACGGGTCCACATCTCAATCGACCCCGGCTACCTTTCTGACGGTCGCTGCGTCTATGCTGCCGTTTGACTGCCTCGTCGTATCCTCAGCGACCCACCTCATCTATAAAGTCCGGGGGTGACGTCGCGATCAGCCCGCCTCGTCCGTGCCACTCGGGAAGGGGTTCCGGCCCCGTGTAGTTCTCGTTCATTTTCCAGGTTTCCACCGCGGAGGCGTAGTCGAACCCTTCCACGTCCCACTTGGCGAAGTCGGACTCCAGCCCACGGACGTAGAGCATGGCGTTGTGGATGCCGCAGCCACCAAGAGCTTTCGCGACGAGGGCGTTCTGGTGCTCCTCCTTGGTGTGGTCCATTACTTCCCAGTGAAAATCCTGCGTTGTGGTGAAAAAAATAGAGCAAAGGTGGGATGGGCGTCATGGGCGAGGCGCGAAGGGCGGCGGGGCGGGGAAACACAAAGGAGCACTTGCTTCGGTTGTTGTTATGGGGGGCTTAGGCCGCCGCCCGCTTCAGGTGTTATGGGGGGAATGGGACGGCGCCCGCAGCGCCAGAAAATGGTGCCAAGAAAACGAGGGACAGCAGCTTGCGACGAAGACGTGACACTGAGACTAACAAGACTTCCGCAGTTGGATCCAAAGGAACACCCGCATCATCTAGACTTCGGGGACGTGTATATGATGTAGAAAACCTTCCCGCACCCCCCCCCCCC